AGCGCCGTATACTGCGCGGCTTTGCTTGTTTTAGACAACGCCTTAAAATATGTAATTATTGTAACATACATTCATAACATCCGACAAACTCAAAATAGGGAAGGCATAGGGGTATGGAATTAGGATGATTGGACGGTTGCTGATGGATAACGAGGCAGGTGTCTCTACCGACCTGTGGACTTCAAAAAGCTAATGTAACCTTGAAGCCTCAAAGAAATAATTGCTTAGTGCTCTAATAAAAAGAATGAGAAAGCACTTGATCTTCTGTTAGTTGTGAGCTCTTATAGGATATGTGGCATCCGAATTGTTTCCGATGTGCTCAGTGCGACCCAACTGCTCGTCGATATGCTTTACTTCCATTACCAAGGTGAGGAGAACTTCATATTTCATCCTTTTTTCCATAGGTTTCTTGCGCTTTTCATTTCAATAATAACCTCGGTGTAACCCGCTGGACTCGCCCTGCCCACTATCTACGCTGCGACCTCTTTTTGGAAAAAAAAAACTAGACGGAAAAGAAAAGAGCGAACCACCAATTAGTAGTGATTTATCACCCTTTTGTTTTGATAATATTTATTTATTTTTGGTGTTCAGGTAAATACTATTGTGGAAGACATTTTGCCGATCTACAATATCCACGATGTGCTGGTTGTGATGAGGTGAGCTATGATTTCCTATTTATTGATTTTTGGGGTGTGTCCCCCAAGGCCCACCGCGCGGCGAAGCAAGAGACGCAGATGCGGCAAAGAGACGAGTTGCAGCGCGTGCTGTGCGATATGAGACGTAGTATGGTACACTCTCTTTAACCTGACGCCTAACCGCTACAGTATGCGCTGCGACTCGTCCCTTGCCGCGTCTGCGTCTCTTGCTTCGCCGCGCGGTGGGCCTGTTGGGGGACACCCGTTTGCAAAGAAGGCAGAGTCAGCGGAACGAGTCGCAACGCGTACTGTAGTGATTTCGCGTCAATGTTAAATAGCATGCACCATTGGACGTCCTAAATCGCTCAGCACGCGCTGCGACTCGTTCGCTGACCCTGCCGCGCGACGGGCCTCCTGTCGTGTACCCAAATTTGTTGCTAACGTAGTTAGAGGAAGCCACGCGGCCGCGGCTCTCTCTATCTGTCTGCGCCTCTGAGCTCCAGTTCTGAGTCCCGTTACTCTTTCGCCGCCATGGCAGCTTCGAATTACAGCGGCAACACAAACTACACTTCGAGGGGCAGTTGGTCAGAGCGCCACGCCGACGCGTGGCCCCTCCAGCTAAATTAGTACCTTATTCTGCTTATTCATACCCCTGTGTGGATGTCCAAAACTACATAATCTGAGTGCACTAATCGTAAGTTCAAGCAAACGCATTTATTGTCCGAGGGGAACGGCAACCCCTAAGTAACTGGTTAGCGAATTCAAAATTCAAAAGAGGTCGGAGTAGAAAGCCAGTGAGAGTATAGCGGAGTCCCAAGCCAGCGCTTCGTCATTTTTTGGGTCGACGAAGGTGCTATGCGTCTACTCCTTTATACAACCGACTGCTAATTACTATTGCTTCGTTATCATTTTTCATATTCACTGTTTTATTCGAACTCTTCTTTTCAGCTTATTTTCGCTCGTGAGTACACATTTGCCGAGGAGAAATCGTGGCATTTTCGATCACTTCGCTTGTCTCAAGTGTGATTTTCGTCTCGGCGGTCATCGCTACATGATGAAGAACGACCACCCGCACTGTATCGACTGCTACATGAAACATTTTGCTCGGGTTAGTCTTGCCTTTTGTGTTCCAGCAATAATACCAGATATTTACAAGGTTAGCTTCCATTACAAACCATGGTATTGAGTATAGAATTATTTCAATTCTTGGAGCGCCAGCATTCTGAAAGGTAGCACATCCCTTGAGAACATGGTCGATGGCAGGGAGGGGACAGTTCGTGGATTTTGCAGTTCAAAAACTCTACGTCCCCTGGATTTCGTTGGGCGACTCCCGTTGGCCCGGAGCCAACGCTCTACATATATGCTAGAACGGCTATAGTCAGACGGCGACGGGTAGGCTAGCCGGTGGGAGTGTAGCGTCGCCGACACCGCCCTATCAGGCCGATG